GATGTAGTGTGGTATTGCTTAAATCTGGTAATGGCTTAAGTTTGTTTGGAAGAACGATATCCCCACAGCAGTCATGATGCTACAGGACGTACTGGGCCTACAGTTGCTTGTCGTATAGAGCCATTTCTGCTTTAATACTGTTCCCTTCTGACTTCAAGAGTAGCCTGTTTATTCTGTGATTATGGGAGTGAGCAGTGACCTGGATGGTCTTCACCAAAGCCAGTCATTTTTCACCATTTTTAACTTTCAGTCCGTCATGACACAGAAGCAAAAGTACCAAATTGATAAAACCCTAGGGCCTGTTCCTGCAATATTTCTGTTACAGCAGGAATACAGACTTGCCAGAAAACGTGAGATTAGTTTCTTCCTATCTGATAGGTTTGGTTTTGCCACTTCAACTCAGTATAGTATCGCAGTGATTTACTTTGTGCATTCTGTGCTCTCATCATGGAAATGCAAATTACTGTACAGCAGGCATTGGAGAAAGGAGGTACTTTGGTACAAGGTTTCAGCCTGAGTTCTAGCCTGAGGAGTTAGATGAGTGTCCAGATCTCTGCATCCTTTGAAATTCATCGCGACTGTAAATAATTCTGAACTCAGAGAAAATTCATGTCCTGGCTGAGTTTCTAGTAACTGAGGGACAGCCATGAGTTCTGAAAATTATTCCATGAATTACTTCAAAGCAAAGCAGTGTCAACGTGAGAGAGCTTGATTTTCATGAGAAAACCCATCACCCCCCACCCCTCTGCACCGTTTTGCTCAGAAATGTCATCTGCTGTCCCCCAACTTTTTGCACATAGGTGTTCTTTGAGAAACACTTCTATTAATGGCTGGTTCATAGTGCTTGCATAGATTTGGTAGATAAAATACAGCCTGGTAATATGAGACAGCTGTCCACTTAATTTGTCAAGTTCTCACAGCACCACAGGAGTGATGGGTGACCCAGCTGTTACTGAGCAAATGAATACAAGAGAAAAGGAAACTTTCTTCATCACTGAGACAAACTGTCAGGCTCCCTCAACCTGCCCTCCTCGCTTTCTAGGTGAATTAGCACCCCGTGTGTCTGTGGGTCAGAAGGCGAAAGGACAGAGCCCTGTGGCCAGTGAAAACTGTGCCGATGACATGGACTTAAACCAGAGAGGTGGGATTTCCCCTGGGGAGGAAGGAGGGTGAAGTATTGATGGAAGAGAGGGAACCAGAGTTTTGCATTATTCCTCTAAGGGTCGCGTTGCCCCCATGTTGCACTTCGTCATTAGCTGAATCGCTGGAGCATCCTGTCAAATCAGCCTCCTGCATAGATTTTTAAAACCTCTAATTGGCACCCACAAGGTTACAAGTTAGCAGCGTGTCTCGTTTGCCCTGCACAGCCTTTGACAGCTCCTCCCCCCAGCTCCAAGGTTCTGGAGTGCTGCACAGTCACGTAACCTGCCATGGTATGGGGCAACCCAGGCTGTAACTGGGACCCTGCCATGCGACCCAGCGTCACTTTTTTTTCCCTTTCTCTTTTAACCATTATGCAAATGTTTCTTCATGTTTCCTGTTTATCGCAGACTCTGAGCCTCCCTAGACAGGCTGTTCTGAGCTTGGCCTGCTTTCTGATAATTGCATCTGCATTAAAGCAAACACCCCTGCAGGGTTTCTCCATTCCCCTGTCCTTGCCAGCTCCGAACTGGACAGCACTCTGTGACTTGCAAGCACAGGGATGCGCAAAAAAGGCATGCCAAGGACTGGCAAAGCTCTGGGGAAGAAGGCAAAGCTGTGTGCTATTTCAGGCCTTTTTTTTTTTTTTTTTGCCGGTGAGTTCAGATACGTCTCCTTTGCTAGTGATACAATGGCTGCTAGGTCCTCCTGAACCACACATCAGTAAAATCGCTACTGAGATCTACAGTCTGTGTCCAACCCATATCAATTACTGCCTTCTCTGTGGGGATATAAAAAATAAATAGGATCCAGGAGAGTCACCCATCAGTACAGACTCCAGTAGGAATTTTGAGAAGGTGGTCCGCTGCATGCTTCTGTGGACTGTTGTTTTCCTGCAGAATGGAAAAGAGGCAGGACACTGCTGTGAAATTTTTGAGGACGATCTTTATCAGATTGCTGTTTAGAGAGCTGGGAATCTCTAGTTCTTAAAGTAATAGAGCCATTAGTGTCTTGCTCCTCTACGTGGGGCTAAGGCCTGGACTATGAGAAGTACAGTAATGGCACTTTTCCTTCATAAAGCCCCTTTTCACTGAAGGATTATACAAAGTCTTACTGAGATGAGTAGATTAGTTTTGTCCTTGGTTTACAAATAGAAGAGGTATCAGACTGTGGAAAGCTGCCTGCTGCCTGCGCTGGAGTGGTGCAGCCCACCACCGATCTGTGTAGATTGTAGTGAAATACTGCCGGGCACATCAAGCTGCATGCTTTCTGCATACCTGGGGTTGAAATCAAGACCTCCAAAACTCGTTTCCTATCAGGATGTAGTTCCCAGGAAGTTAAAATTATGCACAGAGCCTTCCACGCTCACACACTTAACATGCTGAAAGTAAAGTAACTGGGGTTATTTATTTTTAATTGGTTCCTAGCATAAATATATGTAGGTAGTAAGTAGATATTTGCTTCCTGGTCTGGTTTTCTCTTGCCGAACAGAGGCCATGCAGTGCTGTAACTGAACCCCCTCCTCCAAGCAGTAATCATAAATCACTGCCTCTTGTCGTGCTTTAGGACAGTAAGCAAGCAGGGCCCTGACTGGATGCTGCCATCCATCACTCACTTGGTCTGAACGTATGTTTCCACTGCACCCACCAAGAGGTTTTTCAGAAGTGAATTGTCAGTGCAGTTAGACAGCCCATCTGCAGGGAGTTTCTTCTGTCACAGGCAGGATTTCCCCCAGGAGGGACAGTGGGGCTGAATGGTCCCTGCCATAGCTAGTGCAATGGTCACATTCCCTGTGAAATACCTGGTGTCCCCCATCCAAAGGGAACTTTGTTGGAGTTCCAGTTTCTGAGCACCTTCTGAGCACCACGTGGTGCGGGTGGTGAACCTCACTACTATTGGAAGGGTGTTATGGGAGCGGGTGCTGCTTCTGGCTTGTTTTTTCTCATTCTTGAAGCAAATCCAGCTGTATCAATTATAGGGCTGATGAAGCCCTCTGCAAATATCAGTGCATACCTTGTAAGAGAAAAGACTAACAGGTCTTTTTGAAGAGGAGACAAAAATGGAATAAACTAGTTCTCCGCCTGTTTTTTTTTTGGTGGAATAGCTGTACAGTTGAAATCTACCCAACTTTCATTTTCCTATTTGTATAAGTGGCTTTCATCTAAGTGCTGGTCCTGAGTAAGTTATGCCTCCAGAGCTGTCACCATCAAGTACTGTGCATCGCTGAATGCATTCCAGTTCTGGCAGTGCTGAGCTGTGTACGTACGTGTTTACATGCATTCCCCACTGCTCTGAAGGAGCTATTTCCACAGATCCCAAGTGTGGAAGTGGATCTCTCAGGTGACTTTTGACTCTGCAGAGTGGAACAAGTGTCTTTGAAAGACTTAAGATTGACACACATGCAAACACCGTTTCCTCCCTCCTGATATGCGAGGAAGGCCAAGGGTGGGGTGAGGTGGGGTGAGAGTTACTTTTGCTGGTTTTGTGTGGTGGTCTAGAGGAAGAGGGGTCTGGGGTTATAACCAAGATGCTGGGAAATCCTTCTCCCCTGAACAGTGCTGGAAAACTACCGCTTTCTAATTTCCTACCAAGTATCTTACTGCCGTTCAGGGAAAGCTGTCTATGTTCAGGCTTAGCAGAGGATGATATCTCAGGAAATTAAAGGACATCAAGAACTAAAAGGTATACTGGGGCAAATTCCTAATTACTTGTGTGATCCCAGAAGGGGAGATGTTAAGGGATAGTTTTGTTTGCTAGCATAGCAGCTTCTGGACAATCAGTTATTTAAAGGACTGGAAGAAGCCCTACCTCGTCATCCTTGATTGCTTCTTTAGGTCCATTTCCTGCCTTTGGGGATTCCTGGAAATGTGTCATGCCCAGCTGTGGAATGCTCAGGCTGTGTCTTGTTGCAGAGTTTGTCTGGGTTATCTCCAGTCTCCACAGTGCTACCTTAACTCCCTTTGAGTTAGCCTAGGTCAGAGCAGAGGGGTTACAGCGTGGCTTCAAGCAGCACCGAGCTGTTTTGTTAGCAGCTGAGGAATTACACTGACTCCACCTCTAACGAGTACCCTTAGTAAATTCAAGTTAAAAGCATCACCACAGTCATGATAGGAATTTTGGGTGAGAACAGGGCTTGTGCTCATTACAGGGACTTAGTCACAACTTGTTAACTCCATGGCGAAGACATGCTCTTAGAAGTAGCCATGCTTGGACAGACTGGGAATTGAGAGAAAGCAGAGTTTTACGCTTAAGGCTCTGAACACCGCATCTCCTCTAATTGGGTTTAATTTCTTGTTGTGCCTTGTACTTCTTCTGTCACTTCTTATATTTCTTTCCCTTTTGTATCTCAGTTCTGCAGATATAAAATCACACTGCTGTTGGTCTTCTGCTCTTTGCCTTCCCTGCATCCACTGCAAGTTTGTCAGGATAAGGATTTTCTAATATTACTTGAATATGCAATATGTAGTGCAGCTTGTGGGGGGTCAGGAGAGCTCTGAGTGACATCTTAGAGTTTCTGTAATTTGAGAATATGTCATTGGCTTTGGATTGTGAGGCAGGAACTGACTTGAATGTTCACATAACTCCTGCAGCTAATTCCTTTTGGTAGATTTGGGACTTTTCTCTCAACATTGAAATTTTGCTGGTTTTCTGTTCTGCAGGGTAGGGAATGCTGAGGCTGAATGAATTACATTTTTCTTAAATTATATAAGTGCTAAATAAGATACATTGTTATAAGTTGCTGTATCCTCTGCATATAAAGAGGAGTGGAAAATGGATAAATGGGAAGAAAATGTGTGACAATATCTAATGTATTCTAAGACGAAGCTTCTAATTTCTCTATTTCTTTTTGTTTCTTCCAGGTGGAGCGGGAAATAGCCATCCTGAAGTTGATAGAACATCCCCACGTTTTAAAGCTGCATGATGTTTACGAAAATAAAAAATATTTGTAGGTATTACTGGCTTTTGCCAGAGAAAGGGGAAGGGAAGGAGGAAGGAAGGGAGGGAGATGAGGGCTTTGGAACTTGGTAACGTTTCTGAAAGGATGGAGCGGGGTGTGTTTTCACCCTCAGCTGGTGTTCGTGTGGTATCTGGTATTTGGACGAGGAAGGAACATTCCTTATTTCCTTGACTCTTCTCATTTTCTCCTCTGTACTTTACTTACATGCTGGTTTTTTTTCTACTTAAAATGGAGGAGAGAGGACAAACCAACATTTTCTATCAAACAGCAAGAAGGGACGAAGGTTTGTACTTGTAAGATCTGGAACCATTTTGAATCAAAACTGTAACAGACAGTTACACTGGGTAATTTGGATAACCTCCCTTGCCAAATAGTTTTCGTTGAAACCTTCAGCTCCCACTAACAATATTTTAAATTTGCCCCATCAATAACAATTTTTGGTTTTAAGGGTTGCTGAAATCTCCTGATGGATCTGCAGTAACAGTTAAGTAGCAAAGCCTTTTTTTTTTTTTTTTTCAGATCATTGCTGGTGCCAGACAGGGATGTTGTCCACAGACAGAGTCATTTTAGCTTGACAGGGCACTAGATATGTTGAATCTGTTGTCAAACAAACAGGCCACATTAATCTTGGCGCAACAGGAAAAAAAATCAATGTTCTCCAAATGGAAAAGGGCAACCCAGTAGGGAACTCAGTGTTATTTTCAGCTTTTTAACAGGTTATTGCAAGTGGAAGAGAGTGGTTAAAAAAAAATTAAACTATTTTTTAAAACCACCATCCATTGGTAACCTCTCCTTAATGTCACAACACAAGAAGGGAATGACTTTACCCAAAGAAAGTGTGCTGAATGGAGGTACAAACCCTCATGGACGATTCAGCCAGTCTCGTTACTGGAGCAGTGAATTCCTGTTCCGAGAAGAGAGGCCTCAGTGCCCAAGGGTTAGCTTAGTGGAGCAGGCAATCATTTCTTTTGCATTCTCCATCCTCCTTTGGGGCAGAGCCTGCCATCCACGGTGAAATGAGGCTGCCAGAGTGAGGTTGTGCAGGCCCTGGGTGGAGGCTGGCTCAGATGTTCCCTGAGCTGCACGCCGAGGGCTCCAGCCTCCATGGTGTAAATGCTCACAGCTCCATTAGGGCCAGTTTGCCCCAGCTGAGGACAGAGGCCCAGATCTAACACTCTACATGCAGGAGAAGGGTGGCAAAGGGAAGTGAAGCTTTACAGCCAACAAATTCTCCTTTAATCCTGAAAAGAGTCACCATTTTTAAGAGTACATTCCTCTATATTGCTTTAAAGGGAGGTAGGATGTGGCCCCAGCCTTTCTTTTGGTTAAGAGAGAAGGAATATTCTTCTTTGTGATTCTTGTTTATTTGTATGTTGTGTAGTCTTAAACAGACACCCATATAAACACACGCACACTTGCAGACAGCTGATGTGTTCCAGGTAGGTGTAGTGGAGTTGGAGACAATGTGAATACAAGAAGAAGGGCCATGATCGTCACTTGGCATGAGGACATGGGTTACTGAGGTACTGCAGCTTTCTTCTTGCTCTGAATGCCTGTGAAGCCAGCAGCTGAGCTGAGCTCTCCTTCTTTAGCCCAAAAGACTTGAGGGCTGTTTTGCTCCATGTGAAAGATCTCTAGTGCTCAGAGCAGTGGGGATGGTCTTACACCAAGACTTCCAAAAACATGACTGCATTCCTTGGCAGGAAAATAGCTTCCTGCTGAAAATCACCTTGAAAAGGGAAGCATCTCACATCCTTAAGCTGTATCTGGATTTCCTGGCTTCTAAAAAACGTTGGGCTCCAAAGCGCGCTTTGCCAGTGACTGTTTAGCCTTTAACAATCACCGAGTTTTCTTTGAGCTGTAGCTCCTCTGCCTGTAAGACTGAGCTGTCTGCCTCTCCCCACAAAGGCCCGGAATCCCTCTGCTGACAGACACTGACTGTGAAAGAGACAGTGACTGTTAATTACATTTCATTTTTTATTAGTCACTATTTTAAAGAAAGGGCACAATGCAGAGCTTCTGCCAAGCCTCCGTGTTCAAAATCAGAAATGGCCATGGCCTTGGATAAATCTGAGCGGTGGAAGAGAGTACCTGTGAAGTATTACAAGGGGGGGGACACTAAGAAGCGTGTATGCGTGTACTTTCCCCAATAATAAGACACATTGACCTCCAGTTCTCACCAGCATCAAGAAAAGGATTGCTCTCTGGTTGCGGTAGCATCTTTCCATCACACGTACCATCTCAGCAGTAACAGTAGCAGCACGGTTTCAGAGGATCTTGTGAATTATGGGTGATATTTCAGAAGCCAGAGACTAATCACGATGCAGCGCTGGGGAGTATTTCCTTGATAAATGTTAATTTCACATATCATGTTTGACTTTTGGTTTATGATTTAATTTGTGACAAGGGGCTTTGGTTGAGTAGATTCCTAATGCAACCATGAATCAAATCCTTTTTCCACAGTTTATTTAACACTGAAAATGAGTTTTAAAAAATAATAATAAAAATCTGTTAGCATATGTGTGTTAGCCTAGCAGTCATTTTCTGTTTGCTTTGGTGGATTTTTTACCAAGATGGTTGGAGAGATGGAGATAGCTATGAGCTCTAAGATTTCCAGCTCTATATCCAGCATTTTGAGTTGTCTTATTTTTTAAGACTGTGGACTACAGTTCTAGGTGCATAGGGGAAAACACAGCTGCACTGTGGCTTTCTGTATGTGTGCTGACACACCACTTCAAATATACTTTATGGTGGCTAAACGAATTATTTTGTATTTGTTGTGTGATCACACTGATGGCCTTCAAGCAAGATTTGGAATCCACAGTAATAGGTAATTTAGAAATAGCTATAGACAATCTGTGCCTCCCTCTCTCCCGTCATATAATGTTAATAGGCAAAACAGCCAGGATGGGTGGGATGATCCTCCCATTTTAAAGATCAAGAATGAGTTAAAGTAACCTGGTATGGGGTAAACCCAGAGTTGTTTAAGAACTTATATAGCTGGTTCATAATAGGGAGTGATCAATGAGCTACCAGAATTTGTTTTGGAGTGTTCTGTAATGCATACTGGAGGGGAAACACTCCTTTGGTCATATGGTTTCTGCATTGCAAATAAACTGTGTGAACCTGGGTGATAGCCCTCTTTTCTCTGTGCGATGTGCAGAAAAGGCCAGAATTGGCCCTAGATAGAGTTTGTGTAGCAACTGGAGAGGAAACTGGTGTTCATATGCTGTTAGCAGCACTACCACGGTGAACGAGCAGGAGGTTCTCATTAGCAGACATGTTGAAGATTAAGTCAGAGGAAAGATGCAAAGTCCAGTCCTTCATGAGTGAAGTGGTTGGCTTGGATTTTTTCTAGGAAGCAATCCTATGCTTTATTCTGCAGTCTCTGATATGTACATTTACTGCATTTGATGCAGTAAATTCATCTTTCCTTTTGATCTTCCAAAAGCAATTGTCCCGCTGTTGGAGGAGGTGTTAGCATGGCAACCTCAGTGCCATCATACAGTCCACAGGAGATGGACCTTCCCTTCCCAAAGGGGATAAAGCTGACTGATACAGTTTGGCTGCAGAACTCCCAACAGGGGTGGCACTATCCGTTTGATCTCATTTGATTCGCTATTTAGTTTAAACTACCAGGGGTTTGGTGGGGAGTGGAAATGAGATAAAGACTTCCTAGGACCTCTCCATGCCCTTTTCTTTCAGACGTTTGTACCAGTGTTTCTCAATTCCCTTTCCATTAATGTCTGTATATATCTGTAACTTTCTGTTTATAGGTGCGTACAGATATTTGTATATATGTATAGTTTTATATCAATAATTTTCAAATCTTCACACATAAGATTTCAAATTTTCAAATTTTGTATTTTAAAGCTCTGTGTTGTCCAACTTGATAAGCATTTTAAATAAGAATCTGTTTTGAGAGAAGGAGCTCTCTGAAATGCGCTGTGCATTCATCAGCTTTTTCCAAGCACCTTTCTCATCATTCAGCAGAACAGTGCTATCACTGGGCAAGTGCCCAAGCCTCATTGCAATGTACATAACAGACCACCTCCTGATTTCAGAGGTGAAGGTGCTTCCCAGTGAGCCAGATAACAAAATTAAAACGTCCACCTACCAGCACACAACTCACATTTCTGGCTTATACCAGATCAGCTGACATCAGGAGACAAAGACTTACAACTCTGGTGGTGTCTGCAGAGGCATTCATGCTGTCAGTCCTCTCCTGCAGGGTTTTCCTGTAATTCTGTTTATTTTTGTTGAAAACTTATTGTGAGGTACCAAAAGATGCAAGAAAGAGAAAAAAAGGTTCTGTGTGTTCTTCTGTTATTGGTAGCCCAGAACTTTGTCATTTGATCCATCTCTGGGGAAGCTTGTCTAAAGGCAGAAGGAGAGTTCAGAAAGCTGGAAGCAGCTGCAAGGGCTTGGTGCTGAAAATTAATTTTGTGGAAGGTATGCTTCTTGGTAGTCTGCTTGTGGGCTGTCAGATGCTGTGGATACAGGAAAAGAAAAGAGAACAGAATTGGAAGACAAAATAGTGTTCCACCTGAACCTTGATTGGGATTAAGAGAAATATTCATAACCAGCTACTTTGACCCCTTTTCTTCTGCTGTTGACTTGTTTTAGTACTGTCATGAATCACAGCTGTGTGTAGCCGAAGGAAAGCCAGTCAGGTGTAGGAGTGGAGCCAGCTCACGTGAGGTTTTGAGTCGAGGGTGGGCCTGGGGACAAGGAGCTGGCCTGAGACTGGGGAAGGGGAGCGGGTGCTGCGCTGAGGAGAGGTGTCACCGCTCGCAGGAGGGATGCCAGCCTGGCACAAAGCAGGGCTTGCACAGAGGTGGTGGTGATGATTAATACTACACCCTGTGCAACATGGACTTAATAAACTCTGCCCAAAAGCCTGACTGTATCTTCTGCTCACTGCCTGAGGTGCGCTCGCATACCATATGGGCTTGGGAGAGAACAGGCCCAGAGTGAAGCGATTCCAT